ATATCTCGCTTTGCATGTAATGCGTCTATCTCATATATTGGTTTCACCTTTTGAGTTGCTTTACTGACATAAATGAACATTTGCACGATATTCTAATTTTTTGAGTTTCACCTGCACTCTGGGTTTGTAATTTCCTCTTTTCCTGCAATTTATTCAGTCTTAGTTCCTCTTATTTTATAACTATAATCCCCAATTCACCCAAACACCAGCCTTCCCTAAGCTGCTACTTCCAGCTACAATTCCCTTTACCCTATACCGCCCTGTGGCTAGGAAGATGGGAGCTAAAGTCCAAGATACTGGAAGGCCCTAGCTTGGGGAAAACTGTTTGGTTATAGCACAGATAATCCTTCCAAGATACAAATTCCAAATATGACATGTGGATAAAACAAAAAGTAAATATATTTTGGCTGGTTGGAAGGAAGAAGTATCATCCAGATTTGTCATCCAGTGAGAAATGATCCCAGAAACAAATTTATTGATAAAAAACCATCAGGAAATGAAAAGTTATATAAATCTGTAGATAAGAAATCTGTGATTTTTTTTTTTGTTACTTTTAAGTAAAGCAACAGTGTAGATTTTAAATTTGTGGTTTACAAGTTAAGTCTTATTTTGCTAAAACTGATTTTTACCCATATCCTTATAGAAAACTACGCTTCGTTTTATGTCTTCCCTCTACCTATGTGCTTTCTTGGAATGTGGGTGTTTGTATGAATTCTCAGTGAGGGGGCAGATTCTGGGCATCTGTATGGAGAATAGGCATGAACTATGCTGGGCCCTTCTGTCATCTTCCCGCTTCAACTACTTCGTAAGAGGATTTCTCAAACTGTGGTTGTGAATCCCTGTGCACTGCACGCAATGTGTAAATATTTTAGGGGGGAGGAGGGGTGATATTCCCAGTTTTTTTTTTAATTAGATTTGTGCAGACAAAGCAGGAGCCCTATCAAAACATGCTTTGTTTTGCTCCTGATTTGACCTGTACAAAAGCACAGTAGGCAGTTGTTGTACTACAAAGTTTGCAAAATCCGGATGATTTATAGAGTAAAATGTAAATATTAAAATAAGCTTAGACCTAAGACCAATAAAACCATTAGTTTATTCAAGGGGTGGGAAATGTTTGACTAGTTCACTGATAATTTTGTGGTACTGCCAATTTTGAGAATCCTTTCCCTAAGATGTTCCTTTCTCTTCCATCCACTCCTGATGCCTCTATTCCATG